GCTATAAGCGCATCGCCTCTCCTGCGCCCGGATGACGTCGTCACCTCCTCCATCCTGGATCCGCTCCATCTCCACCTTCTTCTCTGACCAGGTCGAGACGTTCAGCGTGACGAAGCTAGTTGGCGTCGGTCCCGTAGGCCTGATTTGCTTGGCCAGCTGGAGGGGCTTGGCCTGCGGTCGCCCAGGCTGAGGCTGGGCCGCAGGCTGCTCGGTTGCCGCGGCGGCCGCGGGGCCGCCAGGCGGGCGGCTGCTCGCCGCCTTGGGGCTCCGAACCTCAGGGGGTCTCACTCCCTCGCCCGTGGCCTCGTCAACTTGAATTGGGTACCCACTATGGCATGTGGGCCCCTGGCTAGGCTGAGGACTGCCAGTCCTTCGGTCGGGCCCTGCCAAGCCAGCCGCAGCGCTTGGCTCTGTCCTGCTGCTGAGCGCCTCGAACTTGGTGTCGTGGCGCACGACGCCGAAGCGCCGTTCCTGGCGCAGCAGCGGCACAATGAAGGGAAGTTCGACGCAGGCGTCGGTCGCCACGTTGGCCGCCTTGTAGGCGGGCAGGCCGCCACCCGGCGCCGCCGCCGCCTCTGAGCGGCTGGGCGCCGCCGCCTCTGCCCCCTCAGCCCCCACAGGGGCGGGCGGCGCCGCGCTGTCGGGGCCGCCGCCTGGCAGCAGGGTGCTACGCGCGGGCCAGGCCGCTGCCAGCAGCAGCGCCAGCAGGAGGTGGAGGGGCCGCCGCAGCGGCCTTCTGGTCGGCAGCGCGCTGGCGGGCCGCCTCGTCTGCCGCTCGGCTCCCCATCGCTGCCGCTGGGGGAGTCCCAGCTCCAGGCGTAGCGTCTGCGGCGGGGGCGGCGGGGGCAACAGGGGCGGCCGCCTGCCCTGCAGGCTGCGGCGGGGCGCCCGCGCCCTGCACGGGGGTGCCAGGGGCCGCGGCTGCTGCAGGCCCCTCCTCGGTGCGCTTGCGCTTATTGGCCACCTCCTCCGCGATCTGGCGCTTGATGCGCTGCTGGTGCTCCTGGCAGTTGCGCTCGAACGTAGCCTGCGCGCCCTGCATGATCTGGAGCCCCTCATCGCAGAGGCGCCTGAGGGCGGCCTGCGCCTCCTCCTCCAGCTCGGCGAAGTTGTCAAACGACTCCGCGTCAAAGTTGAAGGTGAGATGCCTCGCGCCGTCGGGCTGGGCTCCCACGACGCCCGCCGCTTGGGCTCGCTGGCGCAGGAGGGCGTTCTCCTCCCCCTTGGCCTCCGCGAGGCTGCCCGCAGCCTCGTCACGCCAGCCGCGGCATTCAGCGAGGTGGTCCTCCGCCGCCACGAGCGCGTCCGCCGCCTGATCCAGCTGGCGCTGGAGGTTGATCCGCTTCGCCGTGGCCGACTCCAGACGTTGCTCGAGCGGCTTCGGCACTGGGGCGACCGCGGGCGCGACAAAGCTCCGCGCTTCGCGGACCGCCTCCTGCAGCCTGGCTGCGATGGCTGGGTCCCCACAGGCGAGGAGCGCGTCGAGCTCGCTCTCGGGCAGGGCCGACCAGGGGGCCCTCGGGAAGGCGCCTCCGCCACGGCAGCCCGCGCCACCCCCGCCGCCGCCACGGGAGACTGCACCGCCGCCACCACGGTAGGCTGCACCGCGGCCCTTGCCGCCCTTGCCGTCCTTGGCTCCATTCTTCGGTGGGCCTCCGCCGCCGCCGCCGCGATGTGCGAGTTGGGGTCCGCCGCCGCCACCGTCCGCCCAGACCCCAACGCGGGGCGAAGGCTTCGAGGGCGCCAGCTCCAGCCCGATCCCGCACAGCCAGCACTTCGCGTTCGAGCGGAAGTTCCAGCGGCACCGGCAGCCCGTGCACACGACGAAGCCAGGCACGGCCTTAGGCCCCATCGCTGGTACGGTCGGGCGCGCTGCTCAGCTGCGGGCAAGCAGCAGGCAGGAGACGGCGGGGGCGGACCCGCCGACTCAGAAGAAGACTTGACCCGCAGGTCCTGGAAGGTGCTGCTGTGGCAGCTGACACTCTTAGGAAAGGAAGGTGGCCTCAAAGCGGAACCTCCCTCGCGCTCAGAAGTCGCCCCGAAAGACTCGCGGTCGTCGGGACGGTTCATGGCCTTGAGCCAAAATGGCTACGGACTCTTGGAACGGTCTTGGGCTGTCTTTGGGCGTTTGGGGGGCTCCCGGGGAGGTCGGAAAGCGCGGTGCCGCGAGCGTTCCGCAGATGTTCCAGGAAGGTGTGGGACCCCCAGGAGGAGGGGGCACGCATTTGTTGGAATCTTTATATATATATATATATATATATATATATATATATATATATATATAATATATAAAATATCTGATATTCCATTTTTTCCAAATTCCTCGGTCCTGGAGCGTTGGAAGCCGCAAGGCGAACAAAGTTTTTAAAAACCGCAAGAAAATAAACGTTTTTACCCTCTTCGGGCTCTCTCGGGACGGCTCTCAAAGCTCTCTTGGGCTGTTTTGGGGGCCTCGTCGGCGCATTATTGGGGGCCTCTCAAGGGTCTGGGGTGTGTTGGAGGCCTCTGAGGGGTCCCGGAGTCCTCTCGGAGGTCTCAGGCGGCCTCCTGCTCCCGCTCTTGGGCTCATATGGGGCCTGTTCTTGGGTGTTCTGGAGCTGTCCGGGGCGCCCCTTCGGCAGTCTTGGGACCGTCTTGGCCCGTCTTGGGCGCCTCTGGGGCGGTCTTGGGGGCCTCTTCGGTCGTCGCGGAGCGTTGGAAGTATGAAATGGTGAGAAGGCCAACAACCCTGCAACAAAAACAAGAAAATTAACGATTTCAGGTTCTCCGTGCGCTCTCGGGAGGCCTCTCGGAGCTCTCTTGAGGACTCTGGGAGGCCTCCTGGGAGCCTGGAGAACCGCCCGAAAGTTTTCCTGGGTTGCTTGGGAGCGTCTTGGGCAATTCTTTTACGTTGTGGGGGCTTCTTGGGGTCGTCGAGGACTGTCTTTGGGCATTGTGGGGGCTCCTCGGGAGGCCGGGAAGCGCGGTACCGGGAGCGTACACCAGATGTGAGCGAGGTGGAGGAGTCCCCCGGAGGGGGCCCGGCCTTTTTATTTATTCATATATCTATATGTACATTCCCATGTGTTCTAGCATTTCGTGTTCCCCCCACGCTATGCCGTGCCACGCTTTGCTGCGCTCTGCTGTCCAATGGTGCACAGCGTTGACATGCCATGATACGCCACGCGGTGCTGCGCCATGTATTGCCACGCCCTGATATGAACTGCATCGCGCGGCGCCTCATCGCGTTGCACCGCTTGCATTGCAAAGTACACCTGCCTCCAAACATTGGGTACGTGTCTCCACAGTCGGGCCCGATGTGCAGAGCGACCCTGCAAAACGAAGGGTGCCCCTGTGCTCCGTCCATCGCGCTTCATGCCCCATCACTTCTGCTGCGCGGGTTGCCCTCGAAAGAGACCCATGCCCTCCCCGGTGTCTTCTGCAAACGGTCCCGACTGCGGTTGGTCGAGCGGGGACCGACCGCCCCCGCATTCCTATAGGCATACCACGACGTGTTCTTGGAACGCACAATTTGTGGATTCAAACAAGACGGCCTCAACCAGGAATGCTCCGAGAATGCAACCCGAGGGCCCCAAACGAGGCCCAAAGAGGCACCCGAGAGGCCCCCAGAAGCTCCCAAGAGGCGCCCAGGAAGTCTTTTTTTTACTGGAGGAGCACGAAAGCGCGGAGAGAGGTGCAGGCGCCAACCAGCTCAACACTGTGCAATCGAGCGAGCGGCGACGGGGCGGCAGCAGGCGAGAGGCGAGCACCTGCTGAGACCGCCCTCGGGCTCGGTCGACCCTCGAGGCCAAGCTCCCAAGAGGCCCCCAGGAGCCTGGCACAGCTTTGGCCTCAACGTTCTGCCAAGTGGGCCACTCCACAAGGCAGGGGGCGGCGGTGATTCGCCGTAGGCGTCTTCGATATTCGAGCATCCCTTATGGGGCCTGTAAGTAAGCCAGGACGCTTCGACACTGCTTGTTTTGGGGCCACACCAAGCTGGCTTCGGGGAAACCAAGGGCACCGATACCGCTACTCCGCGTTCTGACCAGAATTTCGAGGCGAACCTAGCGGTGGCGACGAGGGCCCCAGAGGAGGCCAAAAAAGGCCAGGGTACAACCAGACTGCTGCAAGAAGGAACGCTAAATAAGGAGCGAAGCCTCTTTTCGGCACTAAACGAGCTTGGGTGTAAAGGAGGGCGAGAGGAACAACAACGGAATGACCAATGAACAGCGAGCCCCATCCGAAGCCAACGCGGTCCTTATTTCAACGTCTTGACTGTAGCTGCGAGGCGGGGATTTATCCATATACACCGCCTGGGAACCGAAGTCCTGGTGGCCCAGCGGGCGTGGATATGGATGTACTTTGACCCCCGCGGGCCCGATTATACCCATATCCACCGCCTGCCGATGTCCCCGAAAATGGACCCTCCAAGCAGTCATGTATAAATTCCCGCCTCGGAGCAGCGTTATCAGTTCCTCGTCCTCCTCTGAAACTTGCCCGCGGCGCCAAGGAGTCTTGCGGGGCGCTGGCGGCCGCAACGATCGGCGGTGGACAAACCTCCCTTTAATAGACCTTTCCTTAGTGAAAACGGCCTGGGACCGAAACCGACGGACCTGGACCCGCAGAAATCACGGCCGCGACGCCCTCTCGCGACACGAAAACGGCCAACTCCTTAATCGACGTGTCAGGGTAGGAGGTCTATACACCTCCGATTCCTTCCCTGTTTGGAGGGGCCCATCCCCAACTGGGGTGGTGGGATGGTCGGGCTGACACACCACGGCCAGGCGGGGATGGGGATATGTGGAACGATACTGGCCGAAGACACACGGACCGCTCCTCAAAAGGCCCGGGGGGGCTTCCGAGAAGCCCCGCCTGGAGCGCTGCTTGAGGGGGGGGGGGGCGATCGATTGGCGGGAGGGGGGGGGGGACGTGCAATTCCTCAATCTACAGGCGGAGGACCGCCTCGGAGCTCGGCTAAGAAAATTCCTCAATCGATGCGTCAGGGTAGGAGGTCTGTCCACCCCCGAAACGAGACCCTCCGAGGGAGACCCCGCCGGGCCGCTGCCGCGAGCGGAGGCACGGCCGGGGCACCGCGCCGTGCCCCCGCACACTCACAGGGCCACTCCTGGCAGGGCCCCGCCTGTTCGTTCCGCTGCGCTTCCTCGTCCCGTCTGCTGCTCTTCCTCGTTCTCCTCCTCCTCCTCCTCCACATCCTCCACTTCCCCGTCTTCCTCTTGCTCTTCTTCTTGCTCCTCCTGCTCCTCCTCCTCCTCCTCTCCCTGCTGCTCCTCCTCCTCCTCCTCCTCCTCCTCCTCCTCCTCCTCCTCCTCATCCTCATCATCATCATCATCATCATCATCATCATCATCATCATCATCATCATCATCATCGTCATCGCCATCACCTTCACCATCAACATCAGCACCGTTATTATTATCATCAGCATCATCATCATAATCACCATCATCATCACCATCACCATCACCATCACCATCATCATCATCATCATCAGCATCATCATCATCATCATCATCATCATCACCACCACCATCACCATCACCATCACCATCACCATCACCATCAGCATCATCATCAACATCATCATCATCATTACCATCATCGCCACCATCATCATCATCATCACCATCATCATGATCATCACCACCGTACCGTCATCATCAGCATCATCAGCATCATCACCATCATCAGCATCATCAGCATCATTATCACCACAACCACGACCACCATCCCCATCAGATTCGTCATATCCATCTGCATCACCAACGTCATTATCATAACCACACTAATCATCATCAACGACAACGCTGGCACCATCAATATCATCGTCATCATCACCACCATCATCTTCACCACCACCATCATCATCACTATCATCGTCACTATCCGCATCACCATCATCACCGCCATCATCACCATCATCATCACTATCCTCTCCAACTGCTCCTGCTCCACCTCCTCCTCCTGCTCCTCATCCCGTCTGTTTCTCCTCGTCCTCCTCCTCCTCCTCCTCCTCCTCCTCATCATAATCCTCTCCGCCTTTTTCCACCTGGAGGGAGGAGGTTCCACGATTCAGGGTCGACGATGTTTGGGGACTGTTGCGTTTCTGTTGGGCCTCAGGAAGTATTCGAAATGCCTGCGGGGAGGGAGCCGCGGCAGCTCCAGGACGGAAGAAGGAGGATATTCGAGGGTCGCCGGTTGGGCACTCTTTGGGGGGTCTCTTCTTGGGTGGGGGTGCAGAAAACCCAAGATCGAATCGATAAGTCGAATGGGCGATAGAAATAAATCGTGTCGGCGGAAATCGGTAGCCGAGTCGGGAAAAGTCGCATCGGCGGAAATCGGCAAGCTACTCGGCCTCCAATAAAGAATCGGAGCCCAAATCGGAATCCGAATCCGAATCGAATCGGAATCGGAAGCCATCGAAATCGGATCGAATCGAACTGGAGAAATCGAACTGAACCCTGCCTCCAGGGAGGCCCGCCCCTGGAGAGAGGGAAAAGGAATGGCCGAGGAAGGGGATCAGCAGGAGGAGTGAGGAGGGAAGATGAGCAGCAGCATGGACGAGGGAGATGGGATGGCGAGGCTGGGGGAGAAGAGTGGAAGAGCTAGACGAGGGGCGACGGTAGCACGAAGGAGACCATCATATAACAATTCTCGGGCGCCTGCGTCGGTTTCTTATTCGGTATGTGTTCCAAAAGGCTGGCGCCTGACTGGTTTCAGAAGGCAGCTTGTCCCGACCATATGCTGGCAGTGGGAATGAGCGCGCGGGCCCTAGTACGCCCCTGGCACGGAGATGGGCGCTCGGGGGGGCGGCGGCACGACTCAAACCTCCAGAACAATGCTTCAAAGTTCCTGTGAGCCACTCAAGCAATAATGACCCTCGGGGCTTCGCTTTGGATCTCATTTTGGAGGCCCCGCGCTCATGCTCAGCAGCCACGCGGGTGTCGCCGTCGACGCCTTCAGGAGCTTGAATATCAGGCGGGGGCAGAAGCAGCAACATACCTCAGAGACGACGGAAAAGGACAACAACAAAACCCGAGCTGCCAGCCTCCATAAGCCAGACGAGGCTTGCGAATAGAGGGCGACGCGGGATCTCGGGAACAACCCGGGCCACGGCGCGGGCACGCGCCGCCGCCTGGGCTCTGCGCTCAAAGGCATGCCATCTGTCTCTCCCCGCCGACCGTCCGAGTCCGATCCACTGCCCCACCCCTTTCATTCTGCACGGCACTGCCACCCCTCACGCATTGGAAATCCTGCCCAACAATCTGCGTTTGTTCCGCTCCGGGGCCCCGCGAGGGGCCGCGCCTACCTGTCCTTTCCCCCCCGACCACCTGCAAGTGCTGTAGCAACCCCTTCTCGTGCTCGGTCAACTCCGCGTCGCCTGCGAAGGTGAGACATTGCATTTCCGACGTCGGCCCCTGCTTGCGCACGCCGCCAGACATCGCGACCCGCGCGAACCTCTGGCGCGAGTCCGATGAACGGACGAGCGACAGAATCTCGTTCAAATGCTGCGGAGTACTTTTGGCCTTCCTCATGGAGTAGTGGATCCTGACCTGCCGCCGATATCGAGTCCTTCCATGCCTGGAGAAACGGCGGACCGAAGTGCACATTCGCCCGCCCGTGTGAGACGCTGCACCTCGCGGCGGAGCGCGACGCCTGCCGTCTCGGCCGCGGCCGCGGCCGCCCGAGCTAGACCGCGCGAGAAAATGCGAGAGACCACGCCGCGTGCGCCCCGCAACTCGGGCGCACTCGCGAGGCAAGAGTTTGGTTGAATTGGTGACGAGCTGGCGCAAAACGCCCGCGCCTCCACCGTTGCCTCATGTTGCCTTCTACGCTGCCCCCCACCGCCCTCGCCATCTGACCTCGCCCCTTGGACGGGCGGTGGCGGCGCCCTCGGGCGCCCGGGCTGGCCGCTAGCCCGCGGCTGCCACGGGCGCGAGGCCAAGGCGCACGGGGCCGAAGGCAAGGACCAAAGTGACTACGTAAGTGCACTTGCAGAGCCTAGCTGCTACCGTAGAAGACACGACCGGGCACTGATGCGGGCTGGGGATCGCGCGTGCGTGCTTTGGGATTTCGAATGCCCACGTCGCTGCTAAATTGCCCGAATAGAACACGTGGGCATGCATGCGCGGCAGCGGTGCGATCTGGCCCGAAGCTCGCGACGCGCTATAACGCGCGCGCACGGCTCGCGGGCCGGGCAAGACAGCGCCGCGCCTTTGCTCCTCGCCAACGGGGTGCTCGCGCGCGCCGCCCTTCCACGCGCCGAATTCCCGTGACATCCTGGGAAGGATCACCATCGCGCCCCTGGCCTGTCTGCAGCGCGCACGGGGCCGCACTTCGCTGTGATTGACTTGGAAGAAGAATAGCTACAACTAGCGCCTTACTCCGAAATTGCCGAACGCAAACCTGAGGATAACGCTCTTCCGCCGCGCCAGACCGAAACAGCGCCGGGAACCTCCCTTGAAGCATCCCCGGCAGCTCCCGCCCCTCACCAAGCACCCCCAACGCCTCCGCATCTCGCCAGCGCGCGCGGACCCAGGGCGCGCGCATCGGAGCTTAGATTGCCGCGCGCGGCGATGACAGGGCGGCGCTCGCGCGCGCCAGTACACCGAACTCGAGCCTCCAACTCTGCCTCCACCGCGCGGCAATAGGCCAATGCAGCCGCGTCCGACAACGGGCGGGGGCGCCCGGGGGCGTCGGGGTCGAACGCTGGCCCCAACATTGCCCGCCTAGCACGGGAAGCAACGATGATGATCAGACGCCGGCACTTTGTCGGAGACGGCGCATGAGCATCGGTGCCGAGAGCTCTGCGTGATAGACTTTGCGATGTATGCGATGTGTCATGTAAGCGTCATACACTGCCTAGATAATGAAAAACCGGATCGCGTGACATCGCGCCTCACACTTCATCCCCGCCATGCGCCGACGGAAGTAGGGGGTCACGTGAAAACCAGATTTCACGCCGTGCGACCACGGAAACAAAAGGAACCTCCCGAAGAAGTCACGCGTGCATTCTGCATGCTATGATTAGGCTAGTGCCCGTCTAGGTCTCAAAGGTCAATCCAAATCGTCGCTGCTGCGCTTGCTCTTGCTAATCAGCCCAGCAGCGCGATGGGGGTTAGGTTAGGTTAGGGCAGCCCCCTGGATGGGGGGCTCGCAAGTCGCGAGCTGCACTGGGAGGTGCGGCGCCCTTCAGGGGGGTTCGTTGCCCCAAAAGACTTCCCTCGCTCTGACCAGGGCCCGCGACGGGGTGCCGAACCCAAGAGTCACTTCCAGCCTTGGACGCTTCCCTGGCTCGGACTCGCACTGCGCGGGCAGTCAAACGCCTCGCGCAGCCCGGCGCCGAGGGCGCGCTGGACAGGGCGGCGGGGGCGGACGTCCGAGCGGGGGTCTTGCGCCGCGGCTGCGGCAGCGCCCCCAAGGATGGGGCCGCCGCAGCTCGATCGATGAGTGGGCGGACGCGGCTGCGGGGGCCCAGGCCCCGACGGTGCGCACTCATGACTCCGATGCGTTTCCTCGCGGGCCGCCTGCAAGGTCCGTCGAGGCGACGAGAGCGCCGCCGTGCCCGGCGCCCGCGCGAAACAGCACGGGGGCCGCTCTCGACTCGGATGGCCCTGGGGCCCCGGGGCGGAGGTCGCGAGAAGCCGCGCCAACGACCAGGCGCGCAGTGGCACGGCGGGCGACGTGGCGCGCGAATTCAGGAGCACGGGCCAGCCGCGGTTCTCCTGAGTCGACCCCGCGAGGGCACTATTCAAACAGTCCTCGCGCCGCGCCCCGAGCGGGCCATCCGCCGCCCACTCGCGCCTGCCAGGGGCCCGCTGGACGGATCGGCGCCGAGCAGAGGGCCGCTCGCGCTTGGCGCGGGTCTGCGCGGGCGCGCTGCAGCGGCGAGTCGAACGAACCCAGAGAGAGAGCCCGGGTCGCGACGTCGATCCGATTGGCCGCTTCAGGACCGACATAAGGGCGCTGCGTCAAGACGCCATTGGCGCGCGTCCGCAGCGCGGTCGCATTTCGCAAGGCTTCGCCCCCCAGGCGGCAAGCGCCCCGGCTTCGATGGGCCTCAGCGCGCTGAACCGATTCAGCGCAGCCGCGGCCCCTAGCGATCCGCGCGGCGCGCGCAAAGATTCCAGCGACCACTTCGCCCGCGCGAGGCTGTCCTTGCCCTTGGGGCAAGGCTTGGGCAATAGCTGCAGTCGGCGTGAACATGGGCGCCCCTGTGCGAGATCAGACGCGCGACCGCGGAATTTGTTCAACCGTGGCAGGGGTATGCGGGGGCCCCCCTGACACCGTGCAGCGCGCGTCCGAGAGGGTGGCTTCGGCCCGGGAATCAAGCGCCGCAGCGGATTGAGCGGCGCGCTGAGAAAAATACGCAGGTCCCAGCGCGGGGGGGGGGGGGGGTCCTCCAGGAGAACCGAGGCGACGCCTTCGCCGCGGAGCGAGCTCGTGGGAATCCCCTCTCGCCTCCTCGGGGAAGGTCTCTGGGACCTCGGATCTCTGTCCACGCGCATTTGCCCGCGGCAGCTCGCATGGCATTTTTTCTGATACCCCGTGTACTTTGCCGACTTGGCCCGTCAACTTGATGTCGCCACGCCCGGAATAACTCTCGGCCCAGCAGAACACCCCATTCCTTCCCCTAGAGCCTTATCGTGGGCGCCCTGGAGAGCGCCGCAGATCCTTCTACCAGCGGCGAGCACTGGGAAAGCCAGATCGCGATTCCGTCTTGGTCAGTCCACGCGGCGGCAGAAACAAACGATCACCAGACGCGGGCAGGACAAAACGGGATCCTGGAGACGGGGCCACAAGATTGGACCCACGTAGACCCAATGGGGCATCCGTTGGAAAAAACACGGGCCCACATGCGCTCGGACTCACTCAGACAGACCAGGGCATCAGTCGGAAAAGTGGCAGCTCGCCAGATCATTCTGCTCCGCTGCAACGTTAGGCCCATGGCCTCTCGCATCGCAGGCCCACAATGCAGGGCAAGCTTTGCTCGCGGCCCGCATCGCAGGCGCCAGGTAGGACGTGTCCTGGCGGCGAACGGCGAGCAGCTCCTGTTCGCCAGCCCCAGTGACTCCAACCCCATAGTGCGCTGACAGATTAATTCCTGTGGTGCGTGCCCGTCCGAATCGCTGATCGGCTGTCTTCAGGGGCATGAGCTTGGACGAATTGGCCATGCGCTGAGAAGCCTTCCTCGAACGATGCCGCTTCTGCTTTGCAGCTGGTCCACAAGCGAAGTCCGCGACCACGTAGGAGACGGCAGCTTTTGTCTTCTCCTTCGCCAGGCCGATCTTCTCAGCAACCTCCTGGCCAAGCTTGGGGCCCGTAGCGACAGTAGCAGCAATGTCATTGAGCGCGGCCTGGAGTCTATACAGCCTGGAACTGCACCCACACCCCTGGCCGCAACGCCACCAACAATGTCGCGGTCCTTGCCGTTCAAATTGGCCCCCTGTGTCTCCAGTGCAACTCATGAAGTCAACTCCTGGGTTACTCTTGACATAGTGGTCATGTTTGGTAATCTTGAAAGCTTAAACGGCCACATCTGCAAACGCACAACCTGCTGGGCAACCGAAGGTGGTGAATCACAGTAGACTGGTGCGGTGCAAGCCCATGCGAATGATGCGGGGGTACTGCGACGCATTGAACACTCCCTTGCAGATGGCCTTTGGAACGGCAGCGGCGAGGAAGTTGCCACGGAACATCTCCAAACAAATCCCTCGTCGAACCTGCTGTAGTCCATGAGCAGCAGGAGGCTGACCCCGTCATCGCTGGCCGCCGCCTCGCTGCGAGCCGCTTGCAACCATGGGAGATCGAGGGCACTCCTCCCAATGCGTGCGCACCAATATCGCGGGTGTAGACGGCAGTGTAGATCAGCAGAATCACGACGGCGAGGCCGAGCGCACAGTGACGAAGCGGTGGCCCTGGTCGGGCTGGCCCGCATCGGCATGACGACGAAGCAAAGCCGGCGCCGCAATGACCCAAGTTGTTCGCAGGCCCCGAATAGAGCCGCCATGGCCTCGAGGCAACCGTCTGGCAGGAGCGCAAAAAGTATTGGATGCACGCGGTCTATACTTGTTGAAGTTCCATGAAGGGGCCATGGCCGTCCGATGAGGCAACCAGGCGCGGTTCGGAAACTGACTGGCATACCACAGCTACTCATATTGGCGAACCTCAGCATCAACAGCATCATGAGGGTGAGCAGACAACCCTCCTTCATTGCAGACAATGGTGGGATGGGAGGCCTCGGGTACCTTCGTGGCCCGATGCAGTCCTCGGATAACCTCTGCTGCCGCAGATCCGCACCAATCTTGGCACCGTTGCCGTCATCTTTGACTTCATCAAATTCTGAGCGCTGGGCGTCATCCAACATATCCTGTCGGAACCTATTTAAAATCTCCGCTGAAGAGCGGGAGTCGCGGTGTAAAGGAGGCCCCGCTGTGGTCGTGAACTCATCATTCATCGCCTGCGTTCCTGACCCATTCTCAATCAGCAAATCCGTGGCCGACGACTGGTATCCTGACCCGTTTCTTTCTTCCAGACCGTGCACATGCGGGGCTGACGACTGAGATCCTGACCTCTCGAGCCTTCCACTGGATGAGGGGAAGTAGGAGGGGGAGGAGGAGGAGGAGGAGGAGGAGGAAGAGGAGGAGGAGGAGGAGCCGCCCAGCTGCTCTCCCGCCCCAGAGAGCTGCATCTCCCTCCCTCGACCTCAGCACGCACAGCCACGCCTTCAGGGTTTCCTCCTCCTCCTCGTCCTCCTCCTTCTCCTCCTCCTCGTCCTCCTCCTCCTCCTCCTCGTCCTCGTCCTCCTCCTCCCTTGCTCATCCGTCCATGAGGGTTGAATCGCAGTCCCTCCTATCCGTCGTCCCGCCGCGTTTTCGTTGCTCCCCTCTCTTCCCCTCCTCTTTCAGGTCGTTACCCTAACTCGCTTGCTGGCGGATGCTACGGAGGGAGGGCGTGTCGGGGGCATCGTGGTGCACAAGTCACTGCCCCGCAATCCAAGTCCAGAGAGGAGGAGGCGGAGGTGAACGACGACGAGCCCTGACTTTCGACGTCTTGTTTTCTGCATGGCATCGGCCCCCGAGGCTCCGACGACGTCGACGACGGCGCGGCGGCGGAAGCGGCGGCGGCGGCGACGTCGTCGGCGACTTCAACGAAAACGACGACGACAGCGGCGGAGGCGGCGGCGGAAATGGCGGCGGCGGCGGCGACGACCAGCGACGGCGACTGCGACGGCGACGGCGACTGCGACGGCGACGACGAGGACGACCACGACGTCTACGACGACGGCGGCTTCGACAGAAGCGGCGGCGCTGGCGGCAACGGCCTGCGACGGCCACGTCGACGTCGGCGACGAAAACGACGACGGCGGCGGCAGCGGAAAAAGCGGCGGCTGCGCAGGCGGCGCCGGCGGCGGCGGAAGCGGCGGCAGCGACGGCCCACCAACCCCTGGGACCCATCGCGGGCCCCTGGCCCGAGACAGCGATTTCCCACAATGCCACAATGCCAGACAGCCTGCACTTGCCGCCGCGCCGTACTGGAGCCGGAAGAGCCCCGTCGTCGTCGCCGCAGGGTCCGTCGCCAGCGTCGTCTTTCTCGCCTCCGTTCTAGATATCGATGTCGTTGTCATCGTCGTCGTCGTCCAATTCGTCGTCGTCCTCCTCGTCGTCGATGTCGTCGGCAGCGGCGTCGTCTTCTCACTGTTCGTCTTCGCCATCAGCGTCACCGTACTCGCACTGACTCTCGTCGTCAACGCCTTCGTCGTTGTCGGCGTCGTCGTCGTCCGCAATTTCGGCGGCGTCATCGATGGATACGGCGGCGTCGTCGGTCGCTATCGCCGCCGTCGTCCGTCACCCTTGTCGTCGTCGTCAACGTCAACGTCGTCGACGTTGACGCCGCCGCCGCCGCCCTCGTCCTCGTCGCCGCCGACGTCGACGTCGACAACGACGCCGTCGTCGACAGCGACGACGACATAGACGACCACGCCGTCGGCTCCTGGGCCGGCCGCCGCCCCAGACCGGAGCCGGCACTCGAGGAGGCCGAGGCACGCAGCCGCCGCGAGGGCGGCGGCCGAGGCTGCGCACCGTGCGGCCTCTGGGCGGAAAGCGGCGACGACGGCGACGGCGATGACAACGGCGTCGACGGAGACAGCGGCGGAGGCGGCGGCGGTAGTGGCGGCGGCGGCGGCGACGGCCGGCGACGGCGACGGCGACGGCGACGGCGACGACGAGGACGACGACGACGTCGACGTCGACGACGGCAGCGGCGGCGGTGAAGCGGCGGTGGCGGCAACGGCCTGCGATGGCGACGTCGACGGCGGCGACGGCGACGGCGACGAAAACGACGGCGACGGCGGCGGCCGAAAAAACGGCGGCGGCCGCGGCGGCGCTGGCGACAGCGACATCAACGGCGGCGGCAGAAGAGGCGGCGGCGACGGCGGCGGCGACGGCGACGACAACGGCCTCGATGACGACAGCGGCGGAGGCGGCGGCGGAAATGGCGCGGCAGCGACGGCGGGCGAAGGCGACGGCGAGGGCGACTGCAATGGCGATGACGAAAAGGACGAGGACGACGACGACGTCGACGACGGCGCGGCGGCGGAAGCGGCGGCGGCGGCGACGTCGTCGGCGACGACGACGAAAACGACGACGACAGCGGCGGAGGCAGCGGCGGAAATGGCGGCGGCGGCGACGGCCGGCGACGGCGACGGCGACTGCGACGACGACTGCGACGGACACGACGAGGACGACCACGACGTCGACGACGGCGGCGGCTTCGACAGAAGCGGCGGCGGTAGCGGCAACAGCCTGCGATGGCCACGTCGACGTCGGCGAAAAAGCGGCGGCGGCGCAGGCGGCGCCGGCGGCGGCGTTGACGACGGCGGCGGCGGCGGCGGCGACGGAAGCGGCGACGGCCAGCGACGTCGACGTCGACAGCGGAGGCGGCAACGGCGATGGCGACGGCGACAGCGACGGTGACGAGGACGAGGACGACGACGACGGCGACGACGTCGGCGGCGGCGGAAGCGCCGGCGGCAGCGGCGACGACGACTGGCGACGGCGACGGCGGCGGCGGCGGCGGCGAGGGCGGCGGCGTCCGAGGAGACGAACAGCGCGGCGCCGCCCGGGGCCCGGCCCGCGGCCGCGCGCCGGAGGGCAGCGCGGCCGCCGCAGAGCTGCTGGTGCAGATAGCGCTCCATGTCCTCGGAGTCCACGGTGAACCTCGCCGTGGGTCGTGCGCGAAGGCGCCAGCGCCGCCGTAGCCGTCGTGGGCACCGCCGCCGCCACTCTCGACGGTCACCGTCGCCGCTGCAGGTGGCCGCCCTCGCCGCCACCACTGCCGCCGTCGTCGGCCGTCGGTCGCTGGCGTCCGTAGCTGGCGTCGTCGTGTTCGTCGTCGTCGTCGTGTTCGTCGTCGTCGTCGCCTGCGTCGCCGTCGTCGTCGCCGTCGTCGTCGTCGTAGTCGTCGTAGTCGTCCGTTGTTGGTGTCGTCGACATCGGTCGTCATACGACGGCGACGGCGACCGCGACGGCGGCAGCGAAAGGTACGAGCACGACGACGATAAGCGGAGGGGACGCAGGAGAGAGCCCAGGAGGACAATGAGACAAGACGAGACCAATCCCCATCTCCACTGGCGTGGCCTAGGCCAGGCCGATCTTCGGGTTTCGAGGGGCCTGACCAGGGAACGTTTTTTTTCCCCCTGGCATTTTTTCTCCCCCCCACCTGGTCTCCGCTTTTCTCTTTTCCCATCCGCGCTTGTTTGTTCTTCCCCTGACGTGTTTTATGTTTCCCATCCCTGGGGGGGCGCCTCGCTTCCCCCCCCCGCCCCCGGGGCGGAGATGAACGCAGATGAGGCCCAGGAACAACTGGCGCGCGTCGCGCGATTGCAATGCAATGCGATTGCAATGCAATGCGATTGCAATGCAATGCAGTGCGATTGACAACGCAGTGCGATTGCAACGCAATGCGATTGCAATGCAATGCGAATGCAATGCACTGCAATTGCAATGCAATGCAATGCACTGCAATGCGATTGCAGTGCGATTGCAACGCAATGCGACTGCAATGCAAAGCGATTGCAATGCAACGCGATTGATATGCTATGCGATTGCAGAAACGCAAGGCGCTTGCATTTCAATGTGATTGCAACGAACGGCGATTTTGTAATGCGGTTGCAATGCGATGCGATTGCAATGCAATGCGGTTGCAATGCAATGCAATTGCAATGCACTGCGATTACAACGCGATGCAATATTGCAGTGCGATGCGATTGCAATGCAATGCGATTGCCGTGCAACTGGGCGCAACGAGGCACCCACCGAGACAGCAACGAGGCTCCTACCGCGATAACATGGCGGATCCTCGCCATACCCGCCCAGGCGGTGGACACGGCAACGAGGCGCCCACCGAGGCGGCAACCAGGCGCCCACTGCGATAACATGGCGGATGCTCGCCACACCCGCCCAGGCGGTGGAGACGGCAACCAGGCGGCAGCGAGGCGCCCACCGCCTCTTCCCTCCTCCCCCCGAACTCCTCTGGACATCCTCCGGACCTCGACCTGCGGCCGACCCGAAGCACAGAAGACCCCCTCACCATCTAATCACAATGTAGTGGACTGTGCCCTGTGCAAGACAATCTGGATCATCTGCGGGCGTCCCGAGATCACTGCGTACTGTTCTTTGACGAGATGGCGGGGGGCTTCATATTGCCCCGTGTGCGCAGGCCCGCCATCCCTTTCAAAAAACAATACAGTGCGCACGTGGCGGCAAAATCCGCCGACCTCTTGGGGTGCCGGAGCGGCACGGCTGTCGGTTATTATTATCATTATTCTTCTGCTTCCTCTTTTTCTTCGTCTTCTTCCTCCTCCTCCTCCTCCTCGACCTCCTCCTCCTCCTCCTCCTCCTCCTCCTCCTCCTCCTCCTCTCGCCCCGCGACACGTGGGCCCGGCCCCCGGCATACACATCATGAGGTCGGGGCTCTGGCTCCCGGGCCCCGGGGCCCGGTCCTCCGTCATATGTGCACTCCGGATTTCGTAAGACAGGGAGGGGGGTCTCATTTCGGGGGGGGTCTCTTCCAGGCTATCTTTGATGGGCCAATTTTCCACCACCACTACCATAGGTAGGAGAGGGAGGAGGAGGAGGAGGAGGAGGAGGAGGAGGAGGAGAAGGAGGAGGACCTCTCCATCTTCCCTTCTCCTCCCCCGTCCTACATATGGTAGTGGTGGTGGAAAATTTGCCCAGCAATCTTGGAGGGCCTGGGCGGGCCTGGGGACGATGTTTTGGAGGGTTCTCCCAGGGGGGGGGTCTGAGATGGCTTGTCTTGGAGGGTCCAGACCCCCTCCCTCTTATCACGAAATCAGGAGTATCATGTTCTTCCGCTCGACAGGCGGCGTGTGGATCCCAGTGGTCCAGGCCCACGCCGATGACGGTCGCCGGCGGCAACTGCGCGAGCGGGAGTCAAAACGACAGCGTCCAGGTCGCACTGCCGACCTGAAAAGTCGAAGGTCGATGGATCAGAGACGAGACACCAAGACAGCGCAGGCAGGCTCAAGCCAGCAAAACAGGCGCCCTCTAGAGCAGGAACCGATTTCAACAGGGAAAATTGGGCGCAAATCCCAGACAACGCAGGCCAGCTCAAGCCAGCTCAATAAGCCAGCCCGCCCGAGCCGCTCCGACCCCCGCGACCCGACCTGCCCGTTAGGGTCCGCCGTCCCCGCCCGTT